TAGTCCCAGCTACTTAGGAGGCTGAGGCAAGAGAATTGCTTAAGCCCACGAGTTGGAGGTTGCTGTGAGCTGTGACGCCATTGCACTCTACCCAGGGCAACAGCCTGAGACTCTCTCTCAAAAAAAAAAAAAAAAAAAATGTTTTCTAGAATAAAATAAAGAAAGAAAGAATGTATGTTTCTGGTGTTTAATCCAGGTTCTGAGAACAAGCAGTAAGTGTGGCCACTACAACACAATCCTAATTTGACAACTCCTATGCTCCCAATTTGCCATCAGAGCTTTGTCTGGTGATTTAAGTGAGATTAGAGGGAGAGTGAGGTGCCAGTAAGTAAGCCATGGCTACAACCAGGATTTGCTATTACACGGTTCCCCTTCTTCCTTTACTTCTCCCTAACTCAGTCTGGTCACTCAAAAACAAAACAAAAGGTTACCTGCTCTGCTCTCTGCTAATAATAATACCAGTCCATAATTATATTATAGTTACTAGATGCAAGGTACTTTTCTAAACATCTGACATTTAAACTTCACAACAACCAACAGTTAAGTTTTGTTATCATCTTCATTTAAAGATAAAAATAAGGAGAAGAAAGGTTAAATAACTTAACCAAGCTGTGTAACTTACCTAGTAAATAACACAAGTTAACAAAGCTGTGTAACTAACCTAGTACATGAAAAAGCCAGGATTCAAACCTTGGCAGATAGAATCCCAGCTCCTAATTCAGTTATGGTTTACCAGTTTAAACATTTTTCCCTTCTGGCAAAAGAGACAAAACATAGTTGTTGAATACTAGTTGTATTATTCCTTGATGATCATAGTGCTATACAATTATAGGTCAAGTGCTAAAACAGATTTTAAAATAATAGATTGATACAAAGTATTTGTTTCTTCTTCCAGTCTCTTTCTATTTTAGGAATATGCCCTCCTTCCCTGACCAGAATGAGAAATGACCTTCTCGGATTAGACAGCTGACACTCTCCCTTGCTCATAAGCAGTCATGGCTAACATACCAACTTCCTGAAAAGGCTGAAAATGGTAAGAACACTGTATTCTGTCATACCTAAATGGCAACTCTACAGACAAAATGTAAATTATAGCAATATTTGTATATATAGTCTTTTAAAAATCTGAGGTATAATTTATATACCGTGGCCGAGCATGGTGGTTCCCACCTGGAATCCTAGCACTCTGGGAGGTGTAGGTGAGTGGAGTGCCTGAGCTCACAGGTTCCAGACCAGCCTGAACCAGAGCAAGACCTTGTCTCTAAAAATACCCAGGCGTTGTGGCAGGAGCCTGTATTCCCAGCCACATGTGAGACTAAGGCAAGAGAATCGCTTGAGTCCAAAAGTTTGGGGTTTGCTGTGAGCTATGATGCTGCTGCACTCTACCAAGGGCAACAAAGTGAAACTTTGTCTCAAAAAAAAAATTATAGGCTCGGAGCCTATAGCTCAACAGGCTAAGGCGCCAGCCACGTACACCTAAGGTGGCAGGTTCGAATCCCCAGCCCAGACCCACCAAACAACAATGACAGCTGCAACCAAAAAATAGCCAGGCGTTGTGGCGGGCGCCTGTGGTCCCAGCTACTTGGGAGGCGGAGGCAAGAGACTCGCTT